CCTTTTTTTTTTTTTTAGTGGAGGAATTAGGCAACTGTGTCAGAAATCTCTTTGAATCTCACCCAGTGGAAACACATGAAGTAAGTCATTAGTCCTTGTGGTTTTTTTTTTTTTTTTTTTTTTTAGTGGAGGAATTAAGTAACTGTGTCAGAAATCTCTTTGAATCTCACCCAGTGGAAACACATGAAGTAAGTCATTAGTCCTTGTGGATGATGGTTCACTTCAACTTACCCCATTTCTTGGGCACCTCCATTCCTAGATCATCTCCTTCGCTCCTCATTCTGAGCTTTCTCAAAAGGTTAAAGCAGAACAGCCATATGATCCAGCAGTCACTTTTCAGGTGAACACCTGAAAGAAAAGAGGGAAATGAGCACCATGTTGAGATACCTATACTCCCATCTTCATCGTATCAATTCTGATAACAGCCAAACATTAGTAACAATAGCCTGGCAGGGAAACAACATAAGCGTTGATGGGTGAGTAGATAGAGAAAATACGGTGTATGTATACACAGTGGATTACTCCTTAGCCTCAAAGAGGAAGGAAATTTTGTCATTTGTGACAACATGGATGAGAAGAGATCTGTTTATCTTTTCTGATAAACAGAAACAGAGTGTTTCTGTGTCGTTTATGGTACTGACCACCATGCCCTTCTCACTTCAACCACTCCAGCCTCCCTTTCCTTCCTTGTGATTTGTATTCCTGTAGACATAAATACAGAAATTCTCTTCTGTTTTGTCATGAGCAGAGAGCTTTTGATTAGTGTTTGAAAGGGTAAATTCAACTTCTAGGTTAGAAAAAAGGCAAAGGGAACAATGTTTAGACAAACAGAATTATCTAAAAATAATATTTACTGATTAGAAAATTTACTTAAAATAAAAATTACTTATTAAAAATTTTTTTCAACGTATAGTGAATTCTGTGGTGGTTTTTGGTGCTCATGAATGGAGAATGAATGCCTAGGTCCAGGTCTCAGTTCAAAACAACTAAGGACGCAGAAACTGAGGTCCAAAGACTGTCATCTAGAGATAAGATGAAAGTCTGGAGCTGCTCTGTGACATAGTGGTCATGTGCTGCTCAAGAGAGCCAGAGCCCTCATGGCCACCGGGATTTGAACCCCCTGCTTGGTCAGCCTGAAAATGCTGGACAAGTGAGTGCCTGACGTGGTGCCCATGGACTGGAGTAAGGAGATTAAAGTTTGGAGAAGGTGCTCTTTTCTTTTTCCTCTCTCACTATCAACTACATGAGCTTTATTATGAATATATATTCAAAATGGTCCCTTAAAATCAAAACAAAAAAAAAGATATGAGAGCCTGGTCCAGTTTAAAAAAAATCCCTTCTAGAAGATTCCAAGCCAGAAGGGGCCTGCATGTGTTAGAAAAGTATCAATGGCCTTCTTAGGCTGGAAAGATTTCCCAAGCATTTCTGGCTGGGGGTGGGAAGTAACTCTGCTGTTAAGAGTGACTGCAAAGCTCTGATTCATTTGCAAAACCAGAAGTGATCTGAAGTTGACCCTGGGATATGATGTTCTGGGTCCTCAGAGTCACATCTTCTTCTCTCCATACACAGTTCACACCTGACACCAACTAGGTTGTGATCTTAAAATCTGCATTTCCTTTACAACACAGAAGATTGATGACACAGGGACCATTAAGTTATATTCTTAGTCACCTGAGCAGAAAAGCATTTGTAAATAAATTAGCAAAATGAACAACATACGGTATTTGAAGTGGATTAATGAAAATTGTGGCTACAAATGAAGAAATATTGTACAACAGCAAAACTAACACTGTAACACAGAGTTTACATGTTTTTTGTTTTTTTTAGCAAAGGAAGGCAAATACAAAAGGATGTATGAAGTATTTTTTTCAGTACATTAAAGTTTAGAAAGCAGCAGGTCAATGTACAGTGTTTATGGGATGTGTGCATTGGCAGTAGAATGAAGTATGAAGTCGAAAGAGAATGTAATCCAAAGGTCTAGAGAGTGGGTAATTCATGAAGACAGAGCAGGGCAGGTATGGGATGGGATGTGGCCACATTACATTTCATGATCAGATGATCGGTAAGTGTTTTTTTCTTTCTTTCTTTCTTTTTTTTGGGAGAGGTT